TAAAAATTATAATTGTAAGGCTGCTGAAGTTCAGCTTGCCTGAGGTGCCAGCAACCCTAGGCTCAGCCCTAGGGGTATATGTAAAAATGTTCTTATTATAGATATATATGTATGGAGTTCCTTTTAAAGACTATGGGAGATTTACATTTGATAAAAGCTCTTCATCTGTTGGTTTATTAGTATTATTAATGTCTATGTGTAATCAAGTAAGCTTAGGTTATTATATGCTACGTACTATACTGTATTGTATTCAATGTGACATGATGCTTACCTGGGACCGCAAGGTCCCCCAAAGGGAAACAAGATATGTCTTGTCTCTAAGGCATCCTGAGGGGAAAAAAGAAGAGAGTGAGACTTTTGTGCTATTGTCTTATATATTGCTTTTGGCAATGGTATCTAGTGATTGTAGCTGAAATTCTTTGGCAGACAAGTGGGGCAATTCCTTAAATTACTTGTTAGTACAGTGTAACCCGGATATAAGATAAACCCGGATATAAGAGAGATTTTCTCTGGTCCCAAATTAGAGCCTGTGTTAATGTATATAAAATAGACCAAACCCGGATATAAGAGAAACCCGGATATAAGAGAAACCCGGATATAAGAGACTTCTTCTCCGCTCCCGACAACTCTCTTATATCCGAGTTACACTGTACTGATTTTTGATGACGTGTTAATTATACTAATTCAGCCAATTATTATTGTTTATTATTTAGTTACTTGTTCAATTATTTTTTTTAAATTATACATTGACTTACTTAAACTATGTCCTCCTCTTTATTATTGTGATCATGTTTAACATTTTGTAATGATAAAAGTATGCAGGTGCAGGCTTTAAGAAATCTTTATTCAACTGAGAATACAAGGTTTGCATATAGTGTCCTTTTATAGTCCCAGTAAACAGAAATAGCTCTCTCAAAGAGGAGAGTAACAAAACAAGGAGAGACAACTCTTGATTATTCATAACACATTTAGATTCAAATTCTATACACAAAAGATACCTGAAGAAAGCTGGAGAGTATAAAGACTGAAATTTTGTGATGATAACAACCAGGAAGATATTTGTCAAAAGAAATTAGTGCATAGTAACTAGTATATAAAGTTACTGATATTATAAACTATTTTTACCAATTTGTAAGCTTCATGTTCACAATAAAAGTGTATCAAAACGATTGTATACACTTTTGACTTCCTTTTTAAAATAAACTGTTAAAAGTACAGAGCATGGCAGTAATACTTCCCATATAATGGTAAGACATTAGTGGCAATTGTGTCTTCATCTACCTAATGTCTTGCCATTATATGGGAGGTATATATAGACTGGAAGGTATTTCTGCTGCACCTTGTATGTGATCATAAAGGCAACTGAATCACATTAGGATCTAAAGTCGTAGAACCAATGAGTATAGTGACATAAGCGATGTGTGACGTGTTCTTTTTGCTTTTTTTTAAATAACGTTGTTACACCATTTCAAAATTTTGCTAAACTCATCAATCGTCTCTACCTACCCTGATGATTACTTTAAGGAAGTCAAAATCATGGACCATATTTCCTGTACTTTTCTTCCGAAACGAACTTTGAAGAATTTCTGACGGAGTTTACTCCATGTCTGAGAAAGATTAATTATTCATAAATTGGAAAAGTCTACCATTAAAATTAATCGACACAAAATATCTATCGTTTTTAATAGTATTTGTTGCGTAAAAATACATTTTTTTTTTACTTACCCCTTCCAAGGGAGGCAACTAGTATAATAGTTCGGTGGCAGCAACATGTAAGGGAGGTAATCTGGATTAACATATTTAGTTTTCCTTTCATGAAGTACTAAGATTTAAACTAAATTAGAACACACATTTGTTAGTTGGTTGATTTTGTTTAGCGGCATATCAACCTTTATGGGTTATTCAATGCAGAAATCTAAATATTTTGAACACAATTTTATGGCTTCAATTACAGATAAAATGTATTGTTGGTACTTCTACAATAAAATGTAATGCTGGTCATTTTAGTTTAAAAATGATCATTTTACTATAAATATATATTGTTGGTAATTTTTTTACATAAAAATGTATTGTTGGTATTTTTACTATAAAAAGGTATTTTTATACTTTCATAGAGTTTTGTTTTTGTTTTTGTTTGAGTTTCACTGTTTTCCCATAGCTGGACCCTGATAGGTGCTACCAACCTGTATCAGAGTGGATCTTGGAATAACAGTAATTAAGAGGTGCTTATCACCTTCCTCAAAACCTTCAATATCTCAATCAGAGGCCTTGCTCCCAGATATAGTTTATTATCATACCCACAACTATAGAACACATGTATACACATTTTAGGTAATTCAGAAACAAAAAATTGAAAGTCTTATATCTAGGTAATAAAATCTGCTACAAAAGAAATCCCAGTTCACATATTCAAGAATTTCATTTGGCACATTTTCTTATGTGTCCATTGTGGTTATTCTTGTGTAAAAGAATGTTTCATGATAACTTATCATCAGCAATAATCATGTGAAGAGACTTCTACCATATAGCATGATGAAGATATTCTCAGAGAAAAATTCTTTAGTATAATGATATTGCTTCTCAATAAGTGTTTTATTTGTGGGAGCATGATAGAATAATGGTTAGCAGCTTGGATTAAGGAATCAGAAAGCTTCAAAGTTTGAATTCCAGTAGAGTTAATTACATGCTTATACCCTTGAGAAAGGTATGAATTCATCTCTTCTCTTCCCAGCTATGTATAAAATAGCAGAACAGATTGGGTCTTATAGCCTTGAGTGGCAACCAGTCTAGGAGAATTAAATTCTGAATTCAAACCATCTGCTGCCTTGTAGGTCCTGCCTATGAATTCAATACTTGCACTATCCTATATACATGTGTGTATACATGCAGCTGGGGGCTGCTTGTCGATCCAAATTCCCACTGAAATACCAAGTTGCCCAGTTTTCCATTGGGAACAAAAGTAACTTAAGTGTCTTATTGCTTTTAGCATTGTGCTTGACCAAGAGTTCTCAACCAAGGGTGGATTTTTATAATCCTCTACTTTTTCTTGTTTTTTATTTACAGAATTGTGTTTATTGAATTTCAATACCCTGGCATTCTATTGAACTTTTTGTTTATTGAAACATGCTTCAGTTTTATTAATTTAATAATTAGTTATGAATTAAAACAAATTACTGTACGTACATTCAAGTTTAGAAAACCATCAACATTTTCTATTGCTATCAAATTTGTATAAATCTGCTATAAAAATAATCCATGTAAATTTATATGTACTAATATGGAAAAGAATGAAGATTTTCAATAATACATGCTTATTATTTGGAATGCACTTTTTGAATTGGACAATCTTGGAAAGTCAGGGAATGATATTCTGAAAAGGGTGCATTGAGCAAAAAAGGTTGAGAACCATTGTGCTAGTCTAAACTAAATTCATCTTAACCAATTCCAATTAACATCTTTGTTCCATATCCATCTTGGTTTGCTTGTTTTTGAGGTTGGTAGGTCAAGGTTTCTGGACCTTTTTCCTTCTCAAGCAAAGCACAATTTAATAAATTTATTTAAAAAGGAAATATCTAATGAGCTGAATAAATACCAAAACACGTTGTAAAGAAAAATAGATGAATAAGCTTGTAATGAAGCTTTATTCAATAAAATTTAACCATTGTCAATATATGAGGCTCGGCCATTACTTAGAGGAGTTCAAAGGGGAGATAACTATGGTTGTCTTCAACACACATTGAATTTATAAAGGATTTCCTATTTGTTCCTTATTTAATTATTTTGTCAGATTTAATCCATATATTTCAGTTCATAAGAAGAAAAATAATCCTTATTAATTAATCTTAAAAATCAAAAATTTACGTTTTTCCTCTCATATAAAATGTTTTCTGAATTATTCTTTATAAATTTTTATTGTTTTTTAGTAAATTTCTTTCATTAATATTTTTAAATTTTACTCTTTTGTCATCTCTTATGCTACAAGCTACAACTCTAATGTCGGTAAAAAAAAAATGCTTACTCTTATAGAAAGTCTCTCAAATTCCCCACTGAGAAACACTGACGATCAACTGGGCAATCAATAATCTTTTCCATTTATATGCCATCCTGGTCAAAATCCTGCAACTGCTCTTAGAGATCTTTCCCACTTAAAAGAACAACATAACATGATCTTCCTTCGCACATCCCCACTCCACCAATTTAGGATTGTGTTAAATTAAATTATAATAATGTTAGTTATCAGTCATAGTCAAAGTTTTTAGAATTTTAATAAATATATGAAACTAGATAAATGCATTCTCTTTTTTTCTTGAGATTTCACAATAAATAGGGTTTAACATTTTTGTTGTCAGTTCTTGATAAAAATTAAGTATAACCTAGATGCTTGCAAGTTATTTTAGTGAATTGATGTTTTTTATTTTGTTATTTACAATGATGTTCATCCCAAGAGCTACTTGACATAGAGCATTACAGAGTAAAAGGGATGATAACAGTTAACCTTGGACTTGAACAGGTTAAGATAATAGTGAGCAGGGAAGCATTCTCTTACTTGTGAGAGCAAATGAAGGTAATGCCTGGAAAATGCATTTTTTCTAAATTTATAATTAGATTTGCCCATAATTCTGTGATTATTTAAATTATTTTATTTGCTTGTTCACATACCAAAAAAAATTGTTTCTTTATAAAATGGTAAATAATAAATATTGCATTGGAGTTTATTCACATATTTTTTATAAATTTGCAAATATATTCTTGTAAATAAGCAATTTAATAAAATAAAGTGTTAATTTTTTTGTTGTCAATTTTCAAGATAAAAGAGAATTTATAAATCCAGTTTAATATGTTTGTGTTTTTTTAAAAGTCTAAAAATAGCTTTTAGAAACAATGAAAATTGGAGAGGGAGAATACAGTAATTGTGGTGTCAAGAGAAAAAACACCCTTTTGACATATCATTTTTTTTTTTTTGCAGGTACATATGTTAAACTTTGCCATAAAATTCTTACCTTTTTCGGTGTAACAGTTACATTTGAAAATGGAAACACAATATCTCCTCCATCCTTTGTAGTATTCAACTGTAAAAATAAAAGCATGTGTTTAATTTTTTTATTTTTCTGTTATATAATATTAAAAATAATATATTACCTTTCAGTAAACAATAAATCAAATTTTGAGTTGAGTTCAAATTCCAGTAGAGTTTAATTACATTAAGTTATGTACAAATAGTCTTGGAAAAGGTATGATCCATCTCTTCTAGAGCCCCCAACCCACCCCCAGCTTTGGGTTAAAATGTATCTAGAAAAATCATTGTTATCTTAAAAAAATTGTTAATGTAATTATTCACTTGCGAAAAATAAAGAAAGAATTATTCTTTCAATCCAGAATATGTTTTGCCTCTAAATTATCTACAAGGGGTTGATAAGCTGTAAAAGACAAATAAATCAAATCAGTCAATCAATTAATCAATAAGGCAACCTATACTGTATACATGTTCCTTATCTCCTATACTAAATTTAGTTAACTGAAAATAAAGGCATCCTGGGTATGACGATAAACTACGTCCAACAACAAGGCCTCAGATAATGTTTTTGAAACAATAATGTTGCCAGCTATACGTTTTTGAAACAATAATGTTGCCAGTTATCCATTTTTTGGAAAAATAATTATTGCCAGCTATGCGTTTTTGAAGCAATAATGTTGCCAGCTATGCGTTTTTTGGAAAAAATAATGTTGCAAGCTATATGTTTTTTTGAAAAAATAATGTTGCCAGCTATATGTTTAATAGTACTGTATACTTAATATATATATATATATATATATATATATATATATATATATATATATACCTTAATTTGGCATTAAATGACCCACAGTGATTGATATGCCATAAAACCCAACAAACCCAAATAAAGAGCTTTAATGTAAAAGTCACAAAATCTCCGAACAATTACTCACCACGACTAGAAATGTGCCTATATTACCACCATATGTTTGAGGATTCTGGAAGATCAAAAAATATATAAATAGATTTAATACAATCCTGTAAAAGCCTGGTAACTAGAAAAATATGATCAATCTTGAATTGATATAAATCTCTAATAAAAGAAATAACAAACAAGAATTTATTTTAAAATTTCTGATGAAGCTTAAATAAAACTGAAACATATTAAGCTTATAAAAGTTCCCAATTTCTTCTTTATTCTATTAGCTTTTAATCTATATTTGATTCCAATTAATATTGTTATAAACATACGTATGGTAGAAAAAAAAAAAAAACAATAAGTACCACAAGTATGGCAAAATGAAAAGAAGACAAGAATAGTTAATATAAAATTATTTCTTTTCACAGATTTGAGTGGAATGTCTTGTAGAGGTGCTGTTAGAATTGTTGGCTAGGGTCACCGTGAATATAATCAAGAAGGAAAGCTGTGTTCTTGTAAACAACACCCCACATGAATCATGTACAACAAACACTAGAGAAAAATAATCAAGCTCAGTGAACATTAATAAAATATCGTATTAACAATGGTATACAAATTTCAACAATAAGTATAAAGAAAGTTGCTTCCCTTTTTCCGTAATAAAAAGGGTAAGTTTAGCTAATTAATGTTGAGTACAATATTGAATGTTATTTAACTACAAAGTTCAATTGATGTCTTAGCTAAATTAAGAATAATTCCACAGTGTGTTACCAGTGTAGAAAGATGTAATGTTCATGAGTGATATCAATAGGAATTAGTATGATTACTTGAATGAGTAATAATTAAAAATTAAGAATTAAAATGTCATAAGAATATGCACCATGCCGTATTCTCCAAGAATTGAACTGCTACTAGCTGTTGGCTAACTATATAAACCCTCTCAGCGAGAGGGTTTATATAGTTACTCATAGGCTCCAGTGAGCTTGGCGCTAAAAATATAGAAAGATACTAAAATACGCGATTGGTCAGGAAATGGACCAATCTGTGATTTTAGAGAAAAATTCAAATTACATGCAATGGCAAAATTGTCATATAATAAGTATCATATATTTATGAACCAATGACGTTAAAGAAAGCGGAGGTGTGGCACATGTAAGTGATCACCACAGTCTCTTTGTGGGCAAGGGAAATGACTTGGAGGAAGGGTAGAGTTGGTAGGGCCTGGAGTTGATGCATCTGTCAGGTCACTGTGTATACATTGAGAGAGGCTGGTGCCGGATTAGTTGAAGGCACAATTTTGTTTCACTTGTTTATGAGTAGCATTCTTAAAAGAAAATGTTATGGCTCATAAACTCATCTTTCTTTATGTTTTTTCTTTGGTACAACATTCATGATTAGCTTCTTTTATATTGTATTTGAATTTTTTGAGAGGATTTATTTTGCTGGCCAAATGTGATGTTCAGAGTCCCTGCACAGAGGACATTTTATTTTGGGTTTTATTTAATAGAATTCATTTTTTTCAACATGTATACTTAATTAGAAAGAGATGAAGCAGAGCAAGCATAGCAATATATACATATACATATATATATATATATATATATATATATATATATATATATATATATATATATATATATGAAAGTGCATATAAATATAAATAAATATAAGTATGTATAATTATTTATATATTATATGCTGTATACTTATTATTTTTACCTATCATAATTTTACACAAACCCCACCACATGCATATACATACATGCGAGGAAATATTTTTCAGTGCGAAAACACTTAATATGACATGTATACAGTAATGAGACATTTCTGCCACACTTCGAATGCTTAAATTTCAACATTTCAACATACAAATGCGTATGTATAGATATAACACCACCTGTATACATATATGTGTCATAGCTAAAACTGCCCACATATGTTTATATATGTATGAGTCCCGACGGACAACCAAGTATGTATATGTGTCTGCATACATCGATGTTTGCGTTAGTACGATGAATGACAAAACGACGAAATTTCCCCCACCACTTCCACAATAACACCAATACACGCAATCTACATAAACCCAAATTTTTTAAAACATTAATCAGTTTGTCTGACGATCGCTAAAGCATGAAACCCAGGGTCACAAACTCACATCTATCCAACCAAATATATATATATATATATATATATATATATATTATATATATATATATATATATATATATATATATATATATATTTATAAATATATATATATATATATATATATATTGTTAAATATATATATGGTCTGGCCTATTGTTTTAGAGATTTATATTTACAGTAATAAGAAATAATGTTGGATTATAAATAAAAATCCATTAATTTCTTAGAAATTACTCTGTTTACATTTCAGATATGAAAATAAAAGTTAGTAGGTATGGGCTTTTAAAGATCTTAATGAGAGGTGTATGCTGATTTTAATCTTTATTAATGACTTTCCCAATGACAGCAGCTCTCAACTTGGCATCTACACTGACAACACTACCATTTACTCCTGCCTTGATACTAAGGCTGATCAGTCAAACAAGGTCAAAATGGCAGCTGGTGTCCAAAATGATCTCAAGACCATCGTTAACTGGGGCAAAAGATGGCTTGTCAATTTTAATGCCCCCAAAACTAAACATCTCTCCATTAATCATCTGAGAGACCCATCACTGCCTTCCATCCATTACTAGGTCAGCTGCTAAGAAAGTCAGTTTGCTGTGCTGGATGAGACAATTTTTCTCTCCAGAATCTATCTTACATAGCTATAAGTCTACCATTCACCCATGCTTAGAATATTGCTGCCGAATATGGTCCAGTACCCCTGCTGTTTACCTGAAGCTCTTCGATAAGATCCAAAGAAGAATCAGCAATATTATTGGTCCTGATCTGGCATCTCAACTTCATCACTTGACCACCATTATAAGGTTGCTTCTCTGTGACTGTTTTATAAATACTTTCATGGTAATGGTTCGGATGAGCTCTTCACTATGGTACCTAGACTGTATGAATTTAAGCGCAGTACTAGACTAGCGGTGAGATCTCATCAATTTACAGTTGAGCTGGCTAGATGTAGCCGTAATTTCTATGCTGACAGTTTCTTTTTCTCGCACCTCTCGTCTGTGGAACTCCTTTGCGGTCCCATAGTTTAAAGTCAACTTTAATCTGCAAAAGTTTAAATGCAATCTTAATTGCTATCTAATGTCCTCCTGATTATTCTTTTTACTTATTACTAATGTTTCTGTTCCTAATTCCTCCACACCCTGTAACCACTTGCTTGTTAGGGGCTATACTGCCTTGCATGTGGTGATACTGATTAAAAAAAAAAAAAAAAATAATCAGAAGAGCATTTTGCCGATGGGATTTGCCATAAAGTTTTTCATGGCTGAGCAGTCTAAAAGCATTCAAGACAAAATGATGGTTTCTCCTATAAAGAAGATGCAGATTCTAACCCAGCCAGAAGGTATATTTTCTTTATTAAGATTTTCAAATACACAGGCCAGTAGACATAGATTTACACTGTTTAAAAAACAGAGATGTTTACTCAAATTTGTGTATCCACTAAATATGATGTTTAAGCTTTTAAAAAATACATATGAAATAAATAAATAATCCATCTCTATTTCAAAAGATTTGTTTTTTGTTAATAGGAATTGATATGACACTTTGTTGGGCGTAGAATAATTTTTTAGCACTACCAATGTCTTCAGTGATGAGTCATGTGACACATCACAACTAATATGAGTTTAAAGATTTTGATAATTTCAAGACTTGGGAAACTTGAGGGCGATTTCCTGTTTTTCCAGAAAAAATTGAATGCATGCTGAAAAGTTCTCAGCCTAACCAAAAAGGGATTAAAAAAAAAATACTTGATGTTGGTTTATTTGGTCACATTTTAGGAAGTGGGTTGAGTTGAGAATTTTTTAGCACCCCCTTCTAAGACATTTCTTTGACTGCATTTTTTTACAACACACTGATGCATGTTAAAATCCTCACAGTATTTAGTATTGTTGAAGTTATCACTAACATTTTTTTGTCAAGTTTTACAAACTCTATATTTCGTTCAATTTCAAAAAATCAATTGATGAAATATAAAAACTTAAAGAAAAGATATGCAAAAAGCAATATTGCATTTTTATTCAATAAGTATTTGCTATTTTAATCATTAATTTTTTTTAAAATAGAGTATTTTCTATATATATATATTTATATGTTCTAATTCAAAGTTTTTTCTTTTGTTAAAACTAAATTATTCTGTTTAGTGTTATGATATGAAGTCCTATTTCCTCAAATAATCATTTTTGTCTGACAATTTATACTACTTTGAATATCTAACATGCAAAAGGCTGGAGTATACATGCATATCCATAGCATTTACACAGATCACAATAGCAAAAAAATATTTTTAAAAATTACCTCATCAAGGGGCAAGAAAAAACCTTGACTTCCAAAATTACGAATCTAGAAATAAAATAATCAGATTTCATGCATAAAAATCAAATTAAGACTTCAGCTTACGGATTGCACTTAAGAGTTTAAATCAAAAACTACATACATTTACAGGATAGCATACACATAGGATTTATTAAACAATATAAAGCATAAAATTTTTCATTCACTGAAATAATTACAAATACAAAAACCTTATCCATTAATTAGTTATTATTTATTGAAAACAGTTTCATTACAGGAATGTATTGCAAATGATTTTACTATAGAGATGCATTGTAAATTATTTTTTGTAGAAAAACATTAGATTATATCACTACAGATTTATATATTAGAAATGATTTTACAACAAAAATACATTGCAAATTAATTTACTATAGGAATGCACTGAAAATCTTTTCACTACAGAATTGCAATAGAAATGATTTTACAACAGCAAACCAGTGCATATGATTTCACGACATAATTATATACTTATATAATAATGATTTTGCTATAAAAATGCATTAGAATAAATTTACTATAAAAATACATGACAACTGAATGTAATATAAAAATGCATTATAACAGAATTTACTATAATAATGCATTACAATTGAATTTCATATAAAAATGGATTACAATAGAATTTAGTACAAATATGCATTACAATTGAATTAACTATAAAAATGCATTACAATAGAATTTATTATAAGAATGCATTACAATTATTGCAAATAAATTTACTATAGGAATGCATTGCAAAAGATTTCACTACAGAATTGCATTGGATATAATTTTACAACTTAATTGAACTCATGCAAGTTACTTCTGACAGTTCTAGCCAAATATAATTATAATCATTGAGGACCATTACTTGGCTACTACACTGACAGTCCAGTATGAATGATAATACCATCCATCAGGTATTCCCAGTATGCACATGACACTGTAGATGAAGGGATATCACATGTTCCCAGAATGCCTATCTATCTGGCATTCACAATCTTGCTCTTCATTCAATCTCTGATAATTCATGTTGCCATTCCATGAGCTGCATGACTCACCAGATATCAGAAGAGAACAAATATCAGTCGAGGCATTTCCATGACATCATGATCATGGTACAGTAACAGCACACATCATTACATTTATATACTGCTTTAAAATACACACACACACACACACACACACACACACGCATGTGCAATTTTGTTAAATTCGATGTGTATGGATTATATATGCATATTTTTATATATATTATATGTTCTATATTATATATATATATATATATATATAATTATATATATATATATATATAAGCTTTAATTTATATATATAATATTATATATATATATATATATATATATATATATATATATATATATATATATATATATATATATATATATATTATTTATATATGAAAAAAAATAGTTTTAAGTTTATTATATTTATTATAAAAAGAAAATTTGAAATAGAATATTTTTTTCTTTTTAAACGTTTTATAAATAAAAGACAACATTGATAACAATGCCCAAATTACAGGCTGTTTCATGCTAGATTAAAATCCTCCTTACAGCCTATTTTGAGCCAGTCATTAAAGTGTTGAATTTAATGGTTTTCAAGAGATAATATTTTATATAAATATATATATATATATATATATATATATATATATATTTTATATATATATGTATATATATATATATATATATATATATATATATATATATATATTGTGTAAAAACATAATATATATAATATAAATTAAAATATATATATATATATATAAATGTTATATATATATATATATTATATTAAATATATATATATATATATATATATATATATATATACTAGCAAAATTAATTTGTCATTGCTCGGACAATCTCTGAATTATTTATTATTGATAATTTATTGATATTTTTAAGACATCTTATGGAAAATAATTTTTTATTTAATTCTTTTAAAATTAAACTTCATTGCTTTTTTTTTTGGTTTGTTACAAAATAACTAAATTTAGGATAATACCTCATTACCAATACCATGCTCAGTGGAGGGGGAGTTTACTTATGTGGCTGAGCATCCCCATGTTTTTATTCAAAAAGACATTTCATTTTTCGATTTAAATACTAACATAAATACTCTATTAATATCGTTTTCAAACAAATCAAAGATAGATAAAAATTCATTAACCTTTATTCAAATTATTATTGATAAAAAATCTAATAAAATTAAATTAAGATATATATAAATTAAGATCCCATGTGGTGAATCCTAGGCTCATTAGAATTTATTTATTTTAAATTAAGATATATGTAAACATATTTAATTTAATCATTTTAAAGGGAAAAACCTATTGTTAAATTACTTTCACATTTAAGGAAAAAATAATTTTTTACAATTTATTTTTGGAGGGAAATTTAGATTTTTTTAAGTAAATAATATTTTTATTTTTTTTATATTAATTAATAACTATTTTAAAAGAGAATTCAAATAAGATACACTGAGAATTTAGTTTTGAAAAGCCATTATGTTTAAATTTCAAGTTATATTTGTATTTGAAAAGAAAAAAAAACTAATTAAATAAAAATTAGCAGAGACAGACATTACTTATGGTCAACATTAGTCATGTTGAATATTTGTTTTATGAATTTAACTATATTCTATTTAAATTAATTTAAAAAAATAAGGCTCACTACAGTTTATTGCTTTAATAAAACTTAATTGAAAATTATTTAATTTTTATGTTAGTTACAAACCAAAAAAACAATAGTTTAATGTTTAAAGATTTAAAATTTTTTAAAGATTGAATAAAAAATAATTTTTCATAAGATGGCTGAAAAATATTAATAAGTCAGTAATACACACACACAAATATTTGAATAAATAAATATTAAAGATTTGTCAAATAATTGTATTTAATATTTTTCTTTTGAATTTACTTTGTTGTTTTAATATTCATTATTTTTAAAATTACACATTTATTTACTATAGGTGTGAAAACAAATTGAAGAGAATAGAAATTTAAGTAATACACACACATATAGCATTTAGCAGAATAAAAAAGTAAAAACGAACATAACTCCTAATCTTGAATAAGAATTATTACCATTCGTATTTACTTTTTTGCATTCTAATGCATTTTAATTTTAAAATATCTTTGTAAATACAAATCATACAATGAGAATTTTTACAAAAAGCTATGTTGAATGATATATATATATATATATATATATATATATATATATATATATATATAACAAGTTTTATTAAATTCTACCGACAAGCTTTGCAAAACCATTCTGGACAGATCATTTATACAATACACTAGACACTTATTTTTAAATCTGAAATGCAGTATTTCAAAAAACCTAATATCTAAGTAACAACTTCTTGTCTACAATAGTAATAATAGTTCCTTGTAATTAACTATATAGGCAGTTGAAAGAACTCAAACAAAAACAGAAAAAAAAGCAAGAATTTTGGACAGTTTATCTGTAATTTCAATGCAAATGTGTAACATCTCATTCAAAAATGGGGGAAAAATACAAGAAATATCAAAACAAACAGAACTTATACACACACACACACACACACACACACACACACACACACACACACACACACATATATATATATATATAGTTATAACTCTACTTATTTGCTGAGTCTATATATATATATATAAATATATATAGACTCAGCAAATGACTAGAGTTATAACATACATTCCTCTAATCATAATAACAATTATAGTAACAAAAGTTTTACAACAACTCTTTTGTTTAACTTAGAAAAAGAAATACATACCTCAAAGTTTGTATATATAGCAGGAGGAAAAATTAAGTTCTTCATATTTTCCAAATGTTTCCTCATTTTTCTCTGTTGCTTTTCTTTATAATTATAACTGATGGACACTCTGTAAATATTGAAATATCAATCAATTCCTTATTTTTATTTTTATCATAATTTTAACACAAACACACGTGTGTGTGTGTGTGTGTGTGTGTGTGTGTGTGTGTGTGTGTGTGTGTGATGGTGTGTGTGATGGGTGAGGAAATTTCTCAACCTGAACAGTTTTCCAAGATCAGACCTAATGATCATACATTAGAATTATATCAAGCTGATAACTTTTCAGTGATCTCTTGGATATATTCAGGCTTTATGAATGATTTCCTCACAGAATTGCACTGGAAATTATTTGACAACAAGAAACCATTTCATACAATTTATTAACTATAGAATTATGATAAAAATCATTTTACGAGAAAATGCATTAGTGTTGAAATTACTATAGGAATGAATGGCAAATTGTTTCAATATAGAATTACACTGGAAATGATTTTACAGCAGGAAAGCATTGCATATGATTTACTATAAAAAACATTAAAACAAATTAATTTTCTATACGAATATATGGTAAATGGATTTACTAGAGAATACATTGATAATGAATTTGATAAAGAAAAGCATCAGTGAACAAAGCCACAATATGCTAACCTTATTCAGAAATTAAAAACATCCCTACCACACACTGATACATACACAGAACACACACACTCAATTAAGCTGAAAATCGAATCATCCTTGATAATGGCTAAAGGCATAGCCGAAAGTGCTTGGAAAAATAAAACATTTGGACAGTTCTTACACATCCTTTGTTCAGAAAAGAAAGCTCTTGTCAGAACAAGAAGAAAAATTAAACAAAAAGCTTAACCGTAGTACCTTGTCTGTCGTTTTTAATGAAACATGCATATATATATATATATATATATATATATATATATAGATATCACTCACTGAGTGCTGATGCTACCAGTGAGGAAAAATGTGTATATTTATTATAAATGAATACATAATACCCCATGCCAACAGTACAACTCAGAGTTTCATGCCTGGTGCAATCTTCAGGTACTCAATGTTGTTTGAAGTTTGGTTAATATCTCTGGATCTCGCAAGATCATGATGTTGTTACATATTTAATTGTACCATAATCTAATTTTGGATTTAAATTTAAGCTCATATTCACACTTAAAGTTGAAAATAAAAATTAGAAATTCTAATGTTCGATTAAAAAAATGACATTTATGGACTCTGTTGGAAATATACCGTTGTATATCAAGGGGAGTAACTCTTTATTGCTTAAAAAAATAGTAATAAAATTAAAATTAATAAAAATTATAATAATAAAAAAGTAAAATAGATAATAATACCAAAAAGAATAAAGGTGATATAGTAAAAATAATAAAAATAGAATAATAGGTAATGGTAATAATAACATTAATAATATAAGAAAAAAAAGGCATATATTAATACTATAGAAATAATAATAATAATAATAGCAACAATAAAACCAGTATCTATGGCATCCAAAACTTTCTTTATATTAATCTGGGTCAACATTCTTGAGTAAGAATTTATTTCTGTGTATTCAAGTGCTCATTAATTAACAAATAACAAATTAGAATTGCCCATATATGTAGGATCATTAAATACTCAGAAAGATATAAGCTATATTTATTGCCTTTACCACTGAAGAGTTTATGTAATTCCAGGTAATAGTTGGGTTTCTATTCTTGCTTTTTATTTTCCAGAAAAATTTAGATAGGTCAATACTGTTACTATATGTAATATTACCTAATGTCATTTGGTGGATGTAGAAGCATGATTTCCAATGTTTTTCAGTAAAACCCAAAGAGAACTTGATCTTACCAACATATTTGATGTTAGCTTTATAAAGTAACCTCTGTCCATGCATTTGCCATTTAATGGGCAGATTTACTTTTTCGGCAGCTGTATTCTTTAATTGTGGTGGTGGTAGGGGGGGGGGTTATTTTGTGGGTTGGTTATGTCTTTGTTTAGTTTAACATTGTTGTGCTGTGATATACACTGCATGCCAAATTATTATCAAGTTAACTCAAATCACCGTGCTGATAATAAATATGGCGCCAGTTTGTTTACATTGAGCAGATCAGTACGATAATTTCAGTGATTGCGCAGGTCAGTGTTGCCAACATTGTGTGAAAATTTTGTGCGAATTAATTGGACAGTTTTTGAAATATTATAAAAAAAGTTATCTCGATAATAATTTGGCATGCAGTGTATGTTGGTTGATCTTTTTGGCACATCTGTAGCTAACTTTGACATTGTTTTTTATTGAAAATCTTTTTTAGCGTTGAAGGAATGATTGAAATGCGTATGGATTAGATACAGAGTACTATTTTCAATAAAAATACTCTAAAATTAAGTTACAGTTGTACTGAAAACTTAGAAATTATTATTAAGAAACATAATGCTAATATCTTGAATAAACACTTTGACTAATACCAAAGAAATTTAGACAGTATAATAATAAAAAGAGATGAAGATAAACAAAAATTATGCAACTGCAGAAATCCTCATAACTCTCCTCTTAATAATAAATGTCACACTGAATTATTAGTGTACGAATGCAATATCTTATCTATTGAGGATCCAGACAATGTAAAAGTCTACATTGGATGCACAAGATATGAATTCAAGAAACGATTCAACCAGCATCAAAGTTCTTTTAGGATAAATAAATACCGAAATCAGACGTCCCTATCGAAATATTTCTGACACTTAAAAGAAACCAATAAAACACATACTGCGAAATGGAAATTAATAAGAAAAACTAGAATATGTAAGTCACAAAATGACCCATGTCAATTGCGCATACATGAGAAACTCTACATTATTAGGTTTATAAAAAATAAAAATTTACTTAATCAAAAAAATGGAATAGTTATTCTTTGACAACATTGTCAAAGAGTTTCCTTAAATAATGATTTAAAAAAGACTGATAAATGAAATATACATATATATATTTGATATTTAATAATAATTTTTAAATAATTTAAGTAATTCTAGTACATTTATTTGTTTTAAAAGAAGTATAGTCTATTAGTAATTAGAATTAGGAATACTATTTCAAAATTGTAGTTCAATACGATGTACTCATATACAAACAATCCCTTTAGAAAAAATCTTTATGTATACAATTACAAATTTAACAGCGATACAAAAGTGCCGAAAAACTTTTTGTCGTTGACATGCATTGAAAGATATCATCATTCATTGAAAAAGGAACCCCTACCCTATCTTAACTTAACCTCCTGTCGAACCTCTTTTGATACAATAGTTCTCAGTGAAAATGAATACCCTACCACCTCTTGTCAAAATGATTGAATTTCCCCATATCCTTAGAAACAAATATTATGAATGTATGTGCTTATAAAGCGCAGTAAATTTCAAAATAAGTTATTCCAAAATTCGCTTGTAAATGAAACAGGACTAGGGACTTTAATTTAATTCTATAATTGAATTTGAAATTTTTAGTTTCTATTTTTGAAACATAGTAATTCCTGTGTAGCGTTGGAACCATATTTTTCAATTAGAAAATTTATTATATATATATATATATATATATATATATATATATATATATATATATATAAATATATAAAATTTATCACTTAGCTGATTGATGCTATATTCAGAACCCTGACTCCCGAGTTTTATAGACAAACCTTTTTGTAATCGGTCGGTCCACTCGTCAGGAGGTATCAGAAATTATCTGCCAATTTTCTCATATAACCGCAAACTATTGTTAATGTGTTAAATCCTCCCCACCTGTGCAATGAGTTAGGGAAGCAAAAGCTTGATCTCTGTCTTCTCTTTCTATCCTCACACACATATACACACACACACACACACGCACACGCGCGCGCGCATAAGCAAACAAACATCTCAAGATTATTTTGACTCTTACTTAAAGATCAATATTTGCACGCAGTAAAAAAAAAGGTTCGTTTTTTTGGCGATGAATTTGTTTGATTATCGCGTTTTTTTTATGTTTTCTTATTTCTTATTTATTTATTTATTATATGTCCCTGGCTATTCGATATGGTTGGGCGACAATGATTACACGTGTGCATTTCGTATGAAGACAAGCCCACTTCTTATAACTAATTGAATGCCTACTCGCATTACCCCGACACAAAGGGGAATTCCTTTTTCTTTCATTCACAATCGATCCAATTTTCCAATCACTTCTCACAACTGACGTCTCATCTGTGATTCTTTACTCTCACAGCTGTGTTTTTATGGGAAGTTGATAAGTGATCTTCAGTCCCCACTCTCGAAAAGAAAGAAAGAAAGAAAGAAAGAAAGAAAGAAAGAAAGAAAGAAAGAAAGAATATAATTATTTGTGGAGAAAAGAAAAAGAAAGAAAGAAAGAAAGAAAGAAAGAAAGAAAGAAAGAGATATAATTATTTGTGGAGAAAGAAAGAAAGAAAGAAAGAAAGAAAGAAAGAAAGAAAGAAAGAAAGAAAGAAAGAAATGTAATTATTTGTAAAGAAAGAAAGATAAAAATGTAATTATCTGTAAAGAAAGAAAGAAAGAAAGAAAGAAAGAAAGAAAGAAAGAAAGAAAGAAAGAAATATAATTATTTGTGGAGAAAGGAAGAAAGAAATGTAATTATTTGCAAAGAAAGAAAGAAATATAATTATTTATAAAGAAAGATAGTGAGAAAGAAAGAAAGACAGAAATGTAATTATTTGAAAAGAAAGAAAGAAAGAAAGAAAGAAAGAAATATAATTATTTGTGAAAAAAGAAAGAAAGAAAGAAATATAATTATTTCTGGAGAAAAAAAGAAAGAAAGAAAGAACAACAACAACATGTGTCACTATCTACTGAATCTCTACAACGAATTAATTATGTCTCAATGACGTGTACTGTCACAGATTTTTCTATCTATCATCTGACACACAGTTGTTTCGGTGCCCAGGGCCAATGTTGAATGAAGAACAGAAGTCAATATTGTTATTATTGAACGTCAGAGGCCACAGCCGCCACTGTCAGCTTTTGGAAACGGATGATCCATGCCAGAGAAAAAAA